GATTAAAAAGGGCACTTATTCAAGATTATTTCAAGATTTATGAGAATGGAAAATGGACACTTATTGCAAAGGAAAATGGGCACGTGTCAAAAATAAAAAAGGGCACTTGTCAGAGGTGAAATGGGGGAAGGGGCACTTTCACTAATAGGGGCACTTGTCAAAGGAAAAGGGGCACTTCTTACAAAATTAAAGGGGCACTTTTCCTACGTAAAAAGGGGCACTTTTGGGGTATCTGCAAAAGTGGGGGGCACTGTGCCCCCCCCCACCCCCCGGGAGGGCCGCCTCTGCCCCTGCCCCTCCATGCACTGGCACGTCATTGCAATATCATGTCTTAATTGCTTTGCTTTGTATATATCTCTTTGATTCCCAGAAAAAGGGAACAAAAAGGAGATTTTTTGGTTTGTTTGGGGGGGGGGGGTGGTGGGGGCTGCATTAGTTATACTAAAAACTTGAAGCCAATACCTCTTTTCGTAGAATTTTTTTGAAGCAGCCCCCTCCAAAAAAATAAGAAGGCGATTCTTCAGCTCACTGAAGAATCTGCTTAGAGTACTAGGCTAGGCCCTTACGTTAGATCTAGCTATTTATCAAGTCTCTAACTTTTAGGAGTAAAATATGATTATCTGATTATGAAAAAAGAAAAATTCCATTCCTTCATTAATCGGATATTCTACTCTGAATGACTAATCTAGAATATGATAATGATGTAGCTACAGTAGATATAGATCTAGGTCTAGTTTACTCACTAAATCAAATTGGATATTCTACTCGGAATGAATAATGATAATACAGTAGATATAGATCTAGTTTGATTAGTTATACTCACATCACTCGATCAAATTGGGCAGTACAATCATGCAATGCAGTGCAGCGGCCCGGCACGAGTCAGTGAATTCCCCCGCCGACCCGGCCGGCGGCGCTGTACGGCTAGCTGCCCACTGAGCTGAGCTGCTGCGGTAGCACTAGGCAGTAGTCTGCTAATTTACGGCCAGGACGAAAGAATGTGAACAAACATCAACCATCTCGTCTAAAATGTACTATATTCGACTTCTCAATAATGAAATCTGTGTCAGGAATAAAAAATAGACCTTCATACGAGATAAAAATGATATTTTTGCAGTGATTTACCGACAAAAACACTGCTCGAATTTCAGTGGTCCGAGTAGATACAACGCACATTTAATGTACGTGCGGCAATGCAGATTGCGAGCTGTGAGTAAATTGTCCGAAATGTCATTTTTTTTGTCATTTTACCTAAAGATAAGTCATAGATTGTCTTCATTAGAATCATTTAACACAATTCCATTAAAGATTTAGGTTGGAAAGGGCATTATTAAGTCACAAAGAGCACAAACATATACACATTGGTATCTCTCGATCAGGCGCGGATCCAGGATTTCTTAGGGGGGGGGGGCCCAAATTTGAAATTATGCGAGCTAAATATTGGTACGTAATGGTGACCAACAATGACGTAATGCGCGGGGGGGGGGGGGGTCGATGCAGGGAGGGCGAGTTTCCCCCTCCCTCCTCCGCGAACGCGGAAGTTTTGAAGTTTCATTAAATTATTAGAGAAATAAGACGATTCGTTGCACCGTTCTCAAAAATAATTCTCGTCTGAATTAGGTTTTTCCCTTCCCGCGCGAAGCGCGGAAAATTTTACGATTTATTAAATTATTACGATTCTTTGGAGAGTTCTCGACTCTTAATCCTCGTCTGAATTCAGGTTCCCTCCTCCCGCGCTTCGCGCGGAAGCTTTTTAAGTTTCCTTTAATCATTAGAGAAAGAAGACGATTCGTTGTACCGTTTTCGACTCTAATCCTCGCCTGAAATCTGTTTTCCCCCTTCCGCGCGAAGCGTGGAAGCTTTTACGATTCATTGAATCAGAGAAAGAAGACGATTCGTTATACCGTTCTCGAAAATAATCCTCGTCGCAATTTAGTTCCCCCTACATCACGCGCGAATCATTCGAAAGGAGACGATTCGTTGTACAGTTCTCGACTCTTAATCCTCGTCTGAATTCAGTTCCCCTCTCCCGCGCTAAGCGCGGAAGCTTTTACGTTTCATTAAATCGTTCGAAAGAAGACGATTCTTTGGAAAGCTCTCGACTCTTAATCCTCGTCTGAATTCAGGTCCCCCCCCCCCCTCTCGCGCGAAGCGCGGAAGCTTTTACGTTTCATTAAATCATTAGAGAAAGAAGACGATTCGTTGTACCGTTCTCGACTCTTAATCCTCGTCTGAATTCAGTCCCTCCCCCCCCCCTCCCGCGCGAAGCGCGGAAGCTTTTACGTTTCATTAAATCATTCGAAAGAAGACGATTCGTTGTACAGTTCTCGACTCTTAATCCTCGTCCAAATTCAGGTCCCCCCCCCCCCCCCCCCGCGAAGCGCGGAAGTTTTTAATTTTCATTAAATCATTAGAGAAAGAAGACGATTCGTTGGACCGTTCTCGAAAAATAATCCTCGTCAGAATATAGTTTCCCCTCCATCCCGCGCGAAGCGCGGAAGCTTTTACGTTTCATTAATTTATTAAAGATTCGTATTACCGTTCTCGCCTCTGAATCCTCGTCTGAATTCATTCCCCCCCCCCCCCTCCCGCGCGAAGCGCGGAAGCCTTTACGTTTCATTAAAGCATTCGAAAGAAGACGATCCGTTTTACAGTTCTCGACTCTTAATCATCGTCCGAATTCAGGTCCCCCCCCCCCTTCCCGCGCGAAGCGCGGAAGCTTTTAAGTTTCATAAGATTATGAGAGAAAGAAGACGATTGGCTGTACAGTTCTCGACTCTTAATCCTCGTCTGAATTCAGTTCCCCCATCCCGCGCTAAGCGCGGAAGCTTTTACGTTTCATTAAATCATTCGAAAGAAGACGATTCGTTGTACAGTTCTCGACTCTTAATCATCGTCCGAATTCAGGTCCCCCTCCCCCCTCCCCCCTTCCCGTGCAAAGCGCGGAAGCTTTTAGATTTCATAATGTTATGAGAGAAAGAAGACGATTGGCTGTACAGTTCTCGACTCTAAATCCTCGTCTGAATTCAGGTTACCCCCTGCCGCGCGAAGCGCGGAAGTTTTTAATTTTCATTAACTCATTAGAGAAAGAAGACGATTCGTTGTACCGTTCACGAAAAATAATCCTCGTCGGAATATAGTTTCCCCTCCATCCCGCGCAAAGCGCGGAGGCTTTTACGTTTCATTAAATCATTAAAGATTCGTATTACCGTTCTCGCCGCTGAAGCTTTGACGTTTCACAAGATTATGAGAGAAAGAAGACGATTCGCTGTACCGTTCTCGATTCTTAATCCTTGTCTGAATTCAGTTCCCCCCCCCCCTCCCCTCCTGAGCGAAGCTTTGGCGTTTCATTAAATTATTAGAGAAAGAAGACGATGCGTTGTACCGTTGTCTATACTCTTAATCCTTTTTTAAATGTGTTCTTTGTCTGCTCTTTTTTCTTCCTACGTCCTCTTCCGATTTGGGGGGACCGCCCCCCCCCCCCCCCCCTGGCTACGCGCCTGCGGTCAGATAAACACATTTTGATACCTTGTCCGACCCCGCAAGCATTTAGGGGCCAGCCTTAGGGCCCCTGGTGGGTTCCAGGGGGCGAAGCCCCCCCCCCCCCCAAATCAGGGGTTTTAGGCATTAAATTACCGTCAGATGAGCATCTAAGGGCCCGCCGTAGGGTCCTAGGTGGAATCCAGGGGCAGAGCCCCCGCCCCGGGAGCGAAATTTTTATTCCCAAACAGGTTTGCAATTTCTTATATTTCCGTTCTTCTCAATGGCGTATACGTCATTAGCAGCTTGGAAAGAGGTCACAAGCAATTAGACTTTGATTTTTTATTGCTTTGCCTCACTATTTATAAAGGCAAAAATACGGAATAAACTGTGACTTGAACCCATGACTCTAAGATTGTATTACGCTCACCTTACCGATTGAGCCAACGATGGGTTGATGAAAAGTGATTCTGCATGATTTATATAACGCTATCACTCACCCTAACGATTACGTCATTGCTAATGACGTAACATATCAGCCAATCAGATGACCGGAAATATTAGCATTGGCAAACCTGTTTGGGAAAAAAAAATTAGCCCCCCGGGAGCTTAGGGGTTCTAGGCATTTAATCACGGTCAGATGAGCATAATATGCCTTATTAATTTTTAACAATGGCAGTTAACTATTGTTTCTTTCTTGCTCTCATTCTATTTTATTTCTCTTCAATATACTTTTTCAAAAAAGTGGGGGGGGGGGGGGGGGGGGGAGAGGGAGCTCGAGGCTCCCGATCCCCGCCCCACCTCGGGCCTGACATGTAGGAATCTCAAGAATCATATTTCTTGCCTGGCTGTAAATTTAGTAATTTTTTGTCATTCTCCAACAAACACATACAAACGTATTTACTCAAAAGTGAGGAAAAATCTCGGAATTATGTCATTTCTTTCCCTTTCCTTCCTTCTCTCTTATTTTTTTTTATTGGGGGGGGGGGGGGGTCAACAGCCTGGGAGGCAAGGCCCTTTCGACCCCCCCCCCCCCGATCTCCTTCTTCCCCCTTTTCTTTTTTTCTTTCTCTTCTTTCTTTCCCTTCTCTCCTCTTTCCCTTTCCCTTCTTTTCCTTTCTTCTCTTTCTCTTTTTTTTTTTTTTTTTTTTTTTTTTGGGGGGGGGGGGGGGCCAAGGCCCGCTCGGCCCCCCCCCTGGATCCGCGCCTGCTCTCGATCGATTAATCAGGTCGGGACATCTCGGCCCAGTTTTTCCAGCTGGGCCGAGTAGTCCCGTGGGCCGAGTTAGCCCGGATTCATTTATATATATGATGTCAAATCGTCTTATAACTTGCAAACTCTACTATTTTCAAACAAAATATATATAATAATAATTCTTAAGTTAATTTGAGGATAATTCATATTTCAATTTATCAGTTAATACCTCATCAAATTTATTTATTCTTGTTACAGACTGCTTTAAAGAATTGCAACGACACGTCACGCATCGCAGAAGCGTCATGCATATACATCGAAACAATCGACAACACAACACCACCAACAACTCGCACGAATGCCACGAGTTCTACGCATTAAAACTGCTTGTTTTACTCAATTTAGGACTGAAATAAAGTGAAATCTGTGTTAGCATTTCACAGGGTATTAAGCAGGACCACGACATAGCACCATATCTTCTCTTCGGTCTAGAAACGATTCCTTGAACTTTGAAGAAGAGTGTGCAGAGCTCAGCGAATCAAAACTCGACATTGAGATCCAGGCCACTTGCATATAAATATATATTCATTGCATCATCTCCGTCTCAAGTGTGCTGTTTTTGATTCCTGAATGGATGAAACTGAAACTAACTTGTTGAGGGCTATCTAGACTGCAGTAAAGACCTTCAAGATTATGGTAATTTGTCTAATTATATCTTTTATCTTTTTAATTTTAAACAAAACATTATTCACTAGCAGTCCTGGCAGTATGCTTAGTAATTAGACGGAAATAATCGTCTGGTATGGGGAATACCGGTACCCCAGTTTCACGGTTACAAGAGTATGCGGCGACATACATGTAGGCACCATTTTAGATTTGCAAGTAAATATTGTGAGTATCTTTCATTTTATGCAGCATGCAAGGCGCAAGTGTCGATATGATGTGAGCGCGCATGTCGGGTAGCGATGTAACAATGCATGCTCTTCTGAAAATATTGATGACGCAATGTTTACTCGCAAATTAAAAGGCGGCATTAACCGCGAAGGGGCGTCAATGAAATTTGTCATGCTACCCCATTCGTAGACGGGAACTCTCGCTGCACGCACGATTAACTATCCGATTTTTGAGAGCACTAAAGATGCTTTCCTAGTACAGCACCAAGTTCAGCCTACACGGCACCGTAGTGGCCAATGTTCCAATGTCCTAGACTTGGTTTTCACAGCTAATGAACATGCTATTGCAGATATTACAACCTCTGCCAGTCTTGGCAGAAGTGATCATTATACATTGATTTTTGACATGAAAATAAGAGGCCAAGGCGCCAAAACTGGAGAAACAAGATACATTTATGATAAAGCAGACTATGATACTATGTATGATAAGATTATGGAAATTGATTGGAATAATGAATTTCGGGAGATGTCCATGGAAAAATCATGGTCTTTCTTCAAAACTACACTGTTAGACATCTGTAATCGTTATACACCAAAGAAAACACTAAACGTAGGTCAGAGGAAAAAACATTGGATGAACAGAGAGACTCTGGAAGTGGTTAGAGAAAAACATAGACATTTCAGAAAGTGGCAAGAGATGAGAAGCGAAAAAAATCGGGAAAAGTATTCTAGTGCAGAAATTGAACAGCAAAGACGTTGTTATAGTAGATCCAGCAACCACGCAAGGTGGCAGTGTAGGAAGGCGGTGAGTTCATATGAGAAATATATAGCCTCAGGAGTTAAGAAGAATGCAAGAGCCTTCTGGTCATATGTAAACTCAAAAATAACAACTCGGGAAAGTGTCTGTAATTTAACCAAACCTGATGGGAGTAAAACGGAAACGGATCAGGAAAAGGCTGAGGTTTTGCAAGATTTCTTCTCTTCAGTTTTCACCCAGGAAGATTTACAAGATATCCCTCTCCCTTTAGATGTTGAATTTGACACTCCACTAGACGACATACAGATTACGTCAGGAGATGTGTATGAACTACTGCGTAGACTTAAGCCTAATAAATCTCCGGGGCCTGACAAAATACATCCCCGTCTACTAAAAGAACTAGCAGATGTGTTAGCTCTACCGATTTCTTTGCTGTTCCAAAAGAGTCTTGAAAGTAAACAGTTACCCCAGGACTGGAAATCTGCAAATGTTACCCCGATTTTCAAGAAAGGTAACAAAAGTGATAGTAAAAATTATAGGCCAGTTAGTCTAACAAGCATTATTTGTAAAATGATGGAGAATCTTGTGCGTAAGCAATTGCTTGACCATCTTATGACGAATGATTTGATTTCAGTTCACCAGCATGGGTTCGTAGTTGGTCGTTCTTGCATCACCAATCTTTTAGAGGTGTTGGACCAGTGGACACAGATTTTGGATGATGGAGGCACAGTAGATGCCATATATTTGGACTTCATGAAGGCGTTCGATACGGTGCCTCACCACCGGCTGCTTCTCAAATTAGAATCGTATGGAGTTCGTGGGAATGTACTTGCTTGGTTAGAGTCTTTTCTGAGTGGACGGCAGCAAAGAGTAGTGGTCAGAGGCAAGCAGTCTAAGTGGGGCAGAGTCCTGAGTGGAGTGCCGCAGGGCAGTGTGTTGGGTCCATGTTTATTTTTGCTATTTGTCAATGACCTTCCAAAAGTTGTCAGCTCAAATATTTCAATGTTTGCAGATGACACTAAGTTGTATGTCCGTGCTGATACTGCAGATTTAAGAAAGCAACTTCAAGAGGATCTGTCACGGATGGAAGAATGGGCTGAGAAATGGCAGCTTTGCTTTCATCCTGATAAGTGTACTGTTTTAAGGCTTGGGAAGTTACCGGCAGAAGCCTCTACAGACTATTGTATGAAAAAGGGGACAGACTCTGTAACACTATCTGTTACAAATGTAGAAAAGGACCTAGGTGTCCTAGTAGATTCACAACTATCATTTAAAGATCACGTTTCCCAAACAGTTCTCAAAGCGAATCGAGTACTTGGAGTTATCCGTAGGACATTTATGTACCTAAATACTGATACTATGCCGTTTTTGTTTAAAGGCCTCGTTAGGCCCATTTTAGAATATGGACAAATCGCATGGTCCCCATACAGATTAGGAGAACAGAGGATGTTGGAAAGCGTACAAAGACGTGCAACAAAGATTATTCCTGGCCTTAGAAATTTAACATACCAGGAGCGCTTGACCAAACTCAAACTACCAACTCTTGTTCACAGGCGTAAAAGGGGGGACATGATCGATGTGTATAAGTACGTGAATGGCTTGTACACTGTGCAAGAGATGCCTTTTAAGATGAGTACAGAAGATAGAACTCGAGGTCACTCTAGAAAACTTGAAAAGAAATATTCAAGGCTAGATATAAGAAAATACTTTTTTAGCAATAGAGTCGTGGAACTGTGGAACGGTCTCCCAGAAAACGTTGTGGCAGCTGGGTCGGTAAACTCTTTTAAGAATAGACTTGATAGTCACTGGTCAAAGAGTGTACCGGTAAGCCTGCTGTATGAGCCGGTCTAGGTGTTGTCTATTGTCTCATGTTATCACACAACCTCCTCCCTCCATAAATAGCAGTAATCACGGAAGAATCCTGGATCGATGAACAGGCTTAGACCTACAACATCGTGTATTAAAGTAAGTAGTAAGTAAGTAAAAAATTGCTCTATGCTTTTCTTTATCTAGACCAAATAGTTTGAGATAAAAATGAAGATTGGGAAAAAAATTAATCTAATTTTCATTTACTATTAGTAGTATAGATCACATGTAAAACTCATTGTAAAAAATGTAAAGCTTAAAAATATAATAATGAGGACTAACAGCTAAAAATTTGTCAGTTTTCTTGCAACTCAGGAAATGTACTGCGCTTGATGAGATTGGTAATCACACACAAACTGCATTTCCTAACCTTTGATACCTCCCCTCACTAAATTATAGGATTTACTTCAGTCTCGGATATGGAGCCCAGGGCAGCGTCTCACGAAACCGTCAATAGTGCAAGTTCACCGACATCCCATTGAAATGCGTGAATTAAGTTTAACACACGTTTGAATGCGATGTCAGTGAACTTGTACTTATGACGGTTTCATGAAACGCTGCCCCGATATTTGTCCTGCGGTAATCATGCACCTGCTCAATAACCTCTCCGTGAATAGAAATGTGTTCATAATCTGGTGTTGGATTTCAATCAATGGAAGTCTGTAAATATTTCCTTAGTTTTTGGTGCATTTAACCTAAATTCTAAAATGTGAGGTCCAAGAAGGGAATATCATATGAAGAGAACAAAGTAAAGTCTAAAGACAGTCAAGACTGTGTACAAGTTGTCATGCAGTCCCACATTATCGCTGTATGCCTATACATGTACATTGTACACACAAGTACACAACAACTTGTAAGACTCTCTCTCACTCTCTCTATTTTTTCAAACAAACAGTTTTGTAAAAATTCTTCTTCTTCTTCTGTAGAAGTACAGGCCACCTTGTTGGCGTATCTTTGTACTCTGTACTCTATACCCAGCACAACAGATGGATGTACATGTGATCCACATTCATGAATATTGTGAAAATTGTCACTGAGTTCAACAAACATTTCTGAGTCATACATGTACATCTCTGCCAGAAAACAACTGCCCGAATTCATAAATTACGAAATTGCAGTCATGACTGTTATTTTTGTGAATTTCTCAATTTATAGGGGTACAAAAATTCCTGACTAAATATGTACATGGCATTGAGATTCATGTATTTTTTACATATAGTTGTAGTTTTGTCATGAATTTGCATATTTCATATTTTTACATGATCGGGTACCACCTTACAAAGCAGCTTACATGTACATGTAGAATTGATAGGCCTGTCGTTATCACCTTGAGATTGCCAAATAACCCGCAACTTTAACTATCCCAATCGCAAATTTCCAGCTAATTTGTGTCTTCATCAGCCCGCAGTTGCAATTACCGGTAGCGGGATATTTGGTTTGAGAGAATCATCCCAAGATATCTTGGGCTAGTTTGCAAAATATCCCGCTATTTGTCCGGTTTTCACCAGCCCGAGGACTCGCACTATGCGCGAAGGCTGAGCGAAATATCTCAAGCTAATTTTACGAGCTTGAGATTTAGAGTTTTGAGTCCGAGTCTTGAGCTGATGAAGACGCGTTTTGTAACTTCGGGCTTATTTCCCAAATCAGAAATAGCGGGCTATTTAGCAATCTCAAGCCAATGAAGACATACCTATAGAGTGGTGAAGTGTGACGTCATCAAAAATCTATTTTTAGAATTTCTCAATTTTTTCCTAACCATTTGGAGCCACAGCATATAACATTGAGTTCCTATAGGAAATATATTCATTCAGATGGTCATATCTCAGCCAATACTTAACATATTCAATTGGTTTTTCGACATTTGGACATTATTTTTGATGCTCTTTCGGAAAACGAAGAAAACAATGAGAAACTCTCAAAATAGATTTTTACAACTTCAGTACTCTATATTACAATCAGAACTTGAATGGAAGAATACAGATGCGTGCAAATTCACACAGGAACAATGTTGAGAATGCTGATCACTTGAAAGATTTGTTACATTTGGCAGTGTGCCACCAGTCAGTGTGGGGAATTTTGTTTGAGGCCAGAAGAAGATCCTGTATAACGGTTGTGTGGTTGACTGCTGACTTTCTTGGTGTAGACAAGTTCAAACATATTTTTGTCTCGTTCAGGAAGAA